CAATGTAACAGGAGAAGATATCCCATAATCATGCTACACAACAATGAAAGCCAACTAGAACTGTGTAAGAAGTTAAGGAGAGCGTTAACACGTCAAAAAAAAAATCGAAGAAGAATGTGAACAAGTTAAAAGGCATAATAATAACACATTCTCAGACAAGATGAGTCACTATTACAAGGATGTCAATACTCACTGAGTTAACAAAATCCCAATAAGAACACCAATTTACTTCTTAGCAAATAGACTCTGAAGTCCACTTAAAGGTAAGATTATGCAGAAATGTGAAAATGATGAGCAAATCTAGAACTAATGCCACTACATATTTTATTATAAAATCTTAATGGTTAAAACACTACTCAGGTCTACGACAGTGAATCAGAAAAAGGCAGATTGGTTAAATGATTTAGAATATTATAAAGGGAGTACCCTAGTCGCTGTAGAGAAAGAGAAAACAAATAGAAAAAATAGTGTCAATCCACCATCACTTGTAGATAGACCAAAATGATACAGCCAGGAAATTAAACATGAAGTACCTGGTGATGGAGAAAGTTATAGACAGTTAAGTAGTTAGGAAGGAAAGAAGGGAGGGAGGGAGGGAGGGAGGGAGGTGATAGTTAGACAGAAGATTTTTAAAAATGATTTTTTGAGGATAGCATAAAATCCAGAAGTCATGAAAGCAAAGACTGATGATTTAAAACATACAACCACAAATTTTCCACATGGTTAAAACCAGCACACGACAAAGGCAAGTACAAAATGAACAAAATTACACACACACAGTAACACATGCAACCTATGTGTATTTGCAACACATATTGCAAATACATAATATTCTTACCTTAAAATAATCCCATCTCACTCTATGTAAAACAGATAAACTCAGTTTTAAATGCCTTTGGATAATTTGCAGAAGAGAAAAGTGAAAGTGTAAAAGTGGATCTTTTGCATACAAAAGAAATTCCACTCTTAAGAAAACAATAGCGGAGGAAGAGCCCAACAATGAAGAATGCTAGCTGTTCTCCTGGGTTGGGGGGGGGGTATCACAATTTTGATTCCTAACACTACATTGGATGGCATACAACCACCTGTAACTCTAGCTCCAGAGGATCCAGAGCCTTCCTCTGTCCTCTGTAGATACCTGAATGCATATGGCATGCGCGCGCACACACACACAGAGAGAGAGAGAGAGAGAGAGAGAGAGAGAGAGAGAGAGAGAGAGAGACTCATACACATAAATAGAATTTTAAAAATTAAAATTAAATCAAATGCGAGGTTATATTATTTCATTTATATTGGCAAAAATCAAAGAACCATGTCACTCACCCACCTAGCTGGGATAAGAGTCACGCTGCTATGGGGAAGTGGAGGACTATTCAACAGCATCTCTCATAACTGCCCTCTCACCTAGCAACTCTGTTTTCAAATTGTTATTTTATGAACACATATATTCACATAGCTCATGTGACATTTGCACAAAGGGACTCATAGTACACATAAAACATTGAACATTTACAGATAACCAAAATAGTCATTAGTAGGAAAATGGTTAAATTCTATCTATGAAATGAAAACAGAAAGAATTAAGAAAGAATGTCAGTGAACACACTGAAAATAAAGGCTGGGTGGATATACAGAAAGGAAAAAGAAAGAGAAGGAGAAAGCCTCGGAGAAGGGATGGACTGAATGAGAGAGGGCATATAGAGTGAGGGTTGGGGAATGAACCCATATATGTTTATATACACATTTATACATGTTACTTCTGGAAGGTACATAAAAAATTCATTAGTTTCTCAGCTAGGGAACATGGTAAAGGAAAGATTTGCTTTTCACTACACCTATATGACTAAAAGGCATCTTTTCAATAGAAAGAAATCTGGCTTTGAGGTTATAAGCTGTATTTGGCCTGTGTTTTTCTGGCTTAGGGTTCTTTCCTTAAGTCAAAAGTGATCATTTTTATAAAAAAAAAATACTTGCTTTGTATCTAAATTTATATATAACCCATAAATATGTATTGATAAATCAACTTTATCATAATATAATAATTTTATGATGCACTGTAACTACTAATGACCTTAATATTGAACCCACAAAAACAGTGTTTGACTATGTCATGGGAGACATTATTCCACTTCAAAGGAAATCACACAGAAGTCTGCACACCAACTATTGATACAATAGCCTTGTAGTGAAGATTCATTCCATCAGACTGGAAAAAAAAAAAAAGCTAATCTTTCCTGTTGAAAGTTCAAAAAGACCAAAAGAGAAGAGAATAAACGTTTGTATTCCTCTATTCACTTCTCAAGAGAAACATCAACATTTGCTCAAATTTGGGAAAGCTTTAAAACATAAAAATTGATAAATATTAAATAAATGAAAGAGGGAGAAAAAATTAGTCAGACCTGACAGTGTAATTCCAAAAGAAAAATTTTTTTTTTTTTTTTTTTT